CTGTTTCAAATTACGACTTTGTATTATTTATAGATGCCGCCATTCAAATATCTGTCTTTCATAACAAAGTCTACTTCTTACTTTTTAAAGCATCTTGAAAATTGTGCCTTTATGTTATTTCGAAATTTTCTGTCATGTAATTCAAATTAAATCAGACTATGGTTGCTCGCTGTGTTCAAAGAAAGCTGAATTTCTGTTGTTGAAATCATTTCTATTAATTTTCGATCATTTATTTATTAAGTTCTTCCCAATATTTGTATAAAATTATAAGTAATGAGTGATATGTATGAGTAATAATTTTGAATATTTGTGGATAATTTTTGAATATTTGTAGATACGTTGTTCATCGTAAACTATTTCAACCATTTATTCCCAGATTTTCGTAGTCTTCAATGCCTGCAGAATGTTTCCTTCATAGCTACTCTCAGTGTTCTCCCTCGATGTTTCTGATAGTTTAAAACTTGAATAACTTCAAGAATGGTTATATTTGATGTTTAGTTTGGAAAAGTAGTGAGATTCTTTTATTTAATGAGAACTGAATTTAGCAGTTTGTGTTCGGTGGTTGAAAAGTAGCTAGAAATTGGAATGTGCTACACTGTCGCTGTTTAGCAGTAACGATTATTACGCAGTTATTGCTCAGTAATTACTATGATAATTATATAATTTTGATTGCATGGATAACTGTTTGCGTAAGTGTTTTGATTACATGAATTATTTTTTCAAACATTCTAAATTTCTGACTGCCTTCACAAAAAGTGATCAACTCGTTTTATTTCTTGCAAATTTTTTAAACAAAATTTGGTTGGTTTTCAAGTTATTGTAGGCCCTTAACAATACTGCTAGTGTATGCCCTTTAACAATATTTATAATAAGTGGAAAGCTCATTATAATCTAATAATTTGTAGGAACATAGCGTATTTATGAAGTGATAATTAAATTTTAAAATGGATTTTGACTGTCAGTTTTGTAAGAATTTTGATCTTATTTAATTACAAAATAGCTTCAAAATTAAATTGTCTTAAAATATCCATAAATTAACAAAAATTAGACTTATTTGCAGCTAGTATATTAACTCTATGTGCATTTATTACCATCTTCTCGAAATATGCTCAGTTTGCGAGTTTGGGCAATTCTCAACTGAACCCTTCATTTGTCTCAAACAATTGGAAATCCTTTGGCATAGTTGAGAAACGTTCAGCTCGAGAAAATGGTTAGTTTGCACCTATAAATTTTTTTTCTGCCGTAAATAAACATGAGCTTTTAGATCTTGAGGAATTTTCATTTGCTCTGTTAACTTCTTGCTAATCATCCAGATTGATAAGTTAATTTTGGTAGTCAATTAGAGTATATAAACTTGAGTTCTTCCTTCAAAAACAAAGTTTTTTGAAGTATAAAGTCAAGTTTATACTCATTGAGTTGTTTAATGGTTGCCAAATTTCATGAGAGAATAATTTGCCGCTTAATTAGGTAGTTAATGAATGATAATTAAGTATGATTGTGCGTATCCAGGGCAATGGTGAGAAGTGTACTTTAGCTTTTTGGAGATGTAACCATAGTTTATTCAGGGTTTGAAAACCAAATTTTTCACTTTTCCAGAGCTTTTTACAGGAAGTAGGAAAAGCAAATCATAGTTTATCACCATGAGTATTACACTGAAGTACTCTTGTATTTGGAAAAAACCATCTTGTCAAGTTTTTAATCATTTGAGCGGGTGTCTTATCAGATGTACTGTTATGGAGCTATTTTTTGTTTATTGAGAGATAAGAGTGCTTCGATTGATATCAGTTTGCTGTTATACTTTGTATTGTCATATTTGAAAAATTACTTGTTATTAGTGGATGGAATGAAAGAAGTATTTAGATTCAAAATAAAAAGTGAAGTGAAATCAGTAAAATTGACCCATATGGGAAATCAACTGTGAACAAATAAGTCATATTCATGGTGTTATTGAGATTTCTGGATTTGAGCTTTATTTTAAATGAACGGAACGTGCTTTACATGGTCGAAAACTGAGGTAACTGTTTTGTGTCTGAAGTAATGGATGAAGTTTCTCGGAAATTGTAAGGAAATAGTTGTTTGTATTGACACCCTGAAAAATCCAGTGAAGCGGTGAAGATTTGTATTAAAGATTTCAGTTTTGCTGATATCTGCATGTAAATGGATATTTATAATATTCCTTTGCACGTCGGTTTTTTCCTACATAAGCTTTCTAAACATATTTGAATTTAAAACCGCTAGTTTTTTATTTTTGTTGTGTACAAGAGCTTTTTATCGGAAGCAGGAAAAGTATATCGTAGTTTCTCATCATGAGTTTGCACTGAAGTGCTCTTGTACTTGCGAAAAAACCGTCTTGTGAAGTTTTAATTATTTGAGCGGGAGTCTTATCAGATGTACTGCTATGGAACTGTTTTTTATTTGTTGAGAAATAAGAATGCTTCTAAAAGATGGCAGTTCGCTGTTATGCTTTTTATTGTCGTATTTGGATGGTCGTAATTGATTCTTTTGGTTGGGCTTAAAATGAAATTTGCATCTATTCTTGATGACTACCGTTTTGTTTGCTTGTTTTTGTTGCTTGCTACCATGCTGATTTGTTTAAACTAACAGAATGATCAGTTAAATCGTTGCTGTTGAGTGGCAGAAGATGAATTGGAGATTTGTACAAATACGAGCTCAAACAAGATGGAAAAGGAGAGAGAGCAGTTTGCGAATTGACATATGTCTGTGCAGAAATGCAATGAGCCATCTGCTTGCCTATGAATCACTTTAAATAGGTTTTGGATAATGTGAAATTTATTTGCTCTCTCAGCCACATCAAGTATTCTAAAAGCGCATCACTTAATCATTTCTTGCACATACTGCTATGGACAACTTTCCACCAAATAATTTCTCGACACAAACTACCATTGTATCACGTATCATTATTTGCTGTGCAGTGCAGTGGATGTCACTAATAATGTTATTGTATTAGCTCATCAAGCTTCCACAAATCTCTAGTATAAATCTATACAAGGTTATGGAAACTTCTTGACATGATGTAGTATGCAATAACTACAAATTATTCTTTCTTTCTCTACTAATTAAAGGCACTGTTAAGGAAAGTAAAAAAGTATATTAGCTATAAAATAAGACATAGTTGCTGCAATATCATGTTACAGTTGTCAGTACAACAATTTTAATTTCATTATGCATTTTCTTCTTCAGTGCATGTTTGAACAGCAGGTTTGTCTCGGTTCACAATGCATGGCAATATAGGGTATTATGGTGATGTAAAGGATTGTGCAGTACCAAATTTTTGTGAGAATTGCGATTGGTTGGATGTGTTACTGTGAGTTGTGAAGACTGATGAATGAAATAACAGTTTTAAATTAAAAGTGTCTGATGATAGTTTTGGTGGACTATTTTGACATTACTTTGTGAATTAGAGCATATATAGAATGGGATAAGAGCTCACCAGGATTTCTACATACCGGTTTTAAATATTACTGTAGATGAAAATGAGCAGTTGTCGTATACACTTCAAACTTTTATAAATGTCATTATGGGATTAAAATTTGATCGTAGCGAACAATTCATGTATTTTAGTTTCCAGTGATCAAACATTGCAGTAATACTGCAGTATATCAAGTTCTTATGCAAATATTGTGAAAGACGATAAATTTTTGAATACGGAACGCACAGAAGTTGTGCAGTTCCCACTTAATCGAGTGAAGCATTGTAATAAAGCTTTAATTAACATCACTTGCATATTTTATTTCATTCATTTGTGGGAGCAGCAATAATAAATTAAAGGGTCACCAATTAAGTAGTTTCAGAAAATTGATTTCGAGACATATTTTGCATTTTTTAGAACAAAAGCATGGGAAGTAGTCATAATATCTAAGTTAGTGGTTTGGCCATAAATTTTAGATCTCCTTCTAAAAAAATTAAGTTTAAGATGAATGATGAAATACATTATTGAGTGGTTAACCACTGATTATTTCGGAACAATCATTATGTTGATTACAAATAGATGTTAAAAGAAATTCAGTTTGGTTAAAAAATCACGATGTATCGGTAGGTAGAGTCAGTTTCAAATGAAGCATACTTTGAGCATTCAATGTCGTGAATAAAATGCATTATTGGCTGTATGTGTTGCATAATGCATGACTGCGTGTGTCTCGAGAAGGGATCACTGAGAGGGATTATTGTGCAGTATTTTTGCAAAAAGACTGCTAGGAAGGCGGATCTGTTTCTGTCATTAATATTTCAATATGTAATTCGATTTCGTCTTCTTCGTGTGCAGAGAAAATATTTATTTCAGGTGCAGAAATCGTGTATATCTTATTTTGTTAGCACTCAGTCTTCATCCACTGCAGTAGTTGTCATTTTGTGTATACAACGCAAGGAACAGTTCCTTACAAATAATCTGTGACAAATTAATGCGGTTACTTACAAAAGAAAGTATCACTGGGTTGTTATTGATTGCGAAAGTGTGCAATGTTTGCATATTAAAGGTGTGAGGACAGAATTCCTTTGATCTGCTTAGTCATTGTTACTCAAGAAATATTCAAAGTGATTTATTAATCGCATGTGCTTGCCAGAAGCACTTATTTACTGATTAATTAAATACGTGTGTATATATCACATTAATATGCAAATTGCAAAACATAAGGTAATTGTGAGAAATGAATGTTTGGTTTTGGCTCGTGATCGAGCAATAATCTCACTACCGCACACAACGTGCTTCAAACTATTTATAATTTCATCCTAGATCCTTCTAAATATATATATGCTTCTTCATTACAACTTTACTGTAAAATGCAGAGAATGCTGAGGGTTAAGTATTTCAGAAGTAATGATTATAACATAGAATGGAGCAAATGTGAACTAAAGAATGTGAAGGCATGTCGTAAACATAAAACAGTAACAATTTCACTCAATTAATATTATTCAAATTCAATGATATAATACACTTAAGCAGAAAGAAAAGCTTGGCGTGCAGTACGGGAAAAGTTTGTAGATTTGAAATGCATATCTGTGGTAGCCTAAATGGATAAGACCAAATGATGATGACTGTAAATTTGAGAATGATTAAATACTGTGTTTAAATAATGTAGAATTTCACAGCAAATCAGTGCTACAAGGAGATAGATACTCCATGATCTAAATTATTTTATATTTCATTTAATAAATGTATCGAATGGCAAAAATCTTGTGCACTAATGAATATGAAATTGGAAAAAAGTACATGCTCGTAACAGTAAGAACAACAAGTAGCAAATTTCACGCACAAATCTGCTTGATATCCTATTTTTAAAATGCTAGTTGTTTTAGATGAACGTTTTCTTGGTTTCCATTTTACTGAAGAACCGTCAAATGCTGTAGCAAAATCTGGACGAATTGAACTGAACTGTCGATTTATTACTGCTCTTAAAGATGTTTCGTCTCATATCGAGTGGCGTAAAGACGGTGCAGAGCTGAGTATATTACGCTCTAATGGAAAAATGTTAGTATAGTAATTTTAAAACATTCGAACAGCATTAGTCGTTTGACTTGTTTTATTAAAGTGAAGATTGTAATTCAGTTGTTAAATCATATATATTAAATTTGCACTTATTTTAACGTTTGAAATTCAAGTGAATAATGGCTAAAATCAGTATTTATACATAAACTGAGAGCAAGAGAAGGGTATTGTAACATTATATGCCATGAAACTAATTGGAGACGGTTTTTAATCTCGTTTTAATGTGCTACTTATTATTATCATTATTTTGTGCTATTTTGCGCCATTCTTGCTTTAAAAAAGGTTAATTGAAAGACAGTTTATAACTTGCTTACCAGCAAATAATTTTTCAAGCCAAATTTCGAATTATACATTAAACCCTGCTGTATAATATTATCAAACAACTTCTAAAATAACTGTGGAAACGTGACTTAAATGAGACACTTGAAATCAGCTTTTGAAAGACAGAAATAATATCTTTCTAAAGTTCGTTCTCTGAGTAAATTTCAGAAACTGCTATTTCGTTAGCTGTTGACTTTTATTTAGTTAAATGAATAAATACTGCAGTTTTTACTGAAATTGTAACACTTGCAAAAAAAACTAAAATAGTGAATAATGAAGATTGTGTTTTGACAAGTATGTGCTATAAAGTTTCAATGATTGAGACAGTGAGACAGAATGTAAGCAGCAAGCAATCTGGTGATCTCTTTTTTAAATTGTGTGTTACGTTATCAATGAATCACTCCCAGTAACCTAGTAGTAGTAGTAGTCGTAGTGACCTGAGCAGTATGAGCTGGAATGAAACTTCTTGTATAATGCAGCGTGTAGGACCAAGAATGACTCACTCGGGAATTGATTATAAATATACTAAGCTTGGAATAGGCGTTGCATTCCTTGTTGGTCAGTTTTTCATTTATTAGTCCTCTTATTAAAGCACTTGACTATCAGAGAATTAAGAGAGGGGAATTTTATTCAGTCTCAGATTAAATTCGTATCTCACTACATGCTGTGTAGAGCTATCATAAATTCCTTCATCAATATATGTAAGTATAAATAGGTAAATTATTTTTATTGCAAAGTGACAATCCTTGAGTACTGAACATTTTGAAATGCAGTGAAACAGCTATTACAATGAATAATTTAGGAATATTTGACTATTCTTTTTTCATATCATAGTTTGTGATATTTAGATTAGTGGCATTTTTTCTTAATGCTCATAGCATGCTTATTACAGTTTTTATTAATTGATGGTGATATGTAGAAAGTTTCTCCAATTCACACATGCAAAATATATTTACTCATTTATGATGCCTTTATAGGTGGGGACAAAAGATTTTCATGTTTGGTATCTTTTGTTAGTAAATGAACTCAATTTATTCACTAGCAACCAAATGAACAGCAGTGATTATGATCGTTAAAAATTAGTAATCTTTTACATCAATGAAATGATATTATCATTTTTACTGATGTGTTTTGAGGCATTTAGCTGCTTTTGTACTGTGTAAAGAGCATAATTGTCACTGCATTTTATGAGGTTTTTCTCTTATTAGCGCTTTCTAAATATGATCACATATTTGTCTTCTTTTTGATATCCATTCATCGTTACTTAATTAGTGTGATAGTATTATTATTGCCATGAAAAGGAAATCTCAAATAAATTATTTATTTTTCTGTTGTTGAAAGAAGTGATCTGTTTTACTTAAATAAGATGGAAATCGTTTTTACTGATTTCTAAATGTTTACATCGATTTCCAACCAAGAAACTTAATTTTGCTTATTTCTATAGCAAAGTTACTTTTGGTTTGTCTAATATTGCATTATGAAGCTGTGGTATTTTAATTTTATTTGGCTTGTAAAAGTAAACCATTTAAGGTTTCTCACGACTTCGGGATCGTTGGTCATCGGAAATTTCGGGTCAGCTGATGAAGGAATTTATCAGTGTGCAGTTCAGATTACTGATAAAAAAGCTTTCACTTGGACCTATCTTTCCCGAAGGGCAGTTGTGCGATTACCAACATTGAACAGGTCTTATCCCTCACATTATTTTTGATTAAAGCTTGACACTAATAACATGGAGTTATGCGTAAGAACACTAACAAACTAAACAGATTTTGCTTTATATTTATCATTTGCGTCTTAGAGGTCGTTATTTATATCAACTTTAATTACAAATTGTATGTTTTTTCAGGTTTGAAATACAACCAGAAGATCGTGAAGTCTATGTTGGGCAGAGTGTGGCTTTCGTTTGTATATTGGTAAAAATTATATTCTAAATTTTTGCCATATTTCGTACTAGTTAACGAAAATCAGTTGTTTAGTGCTTTTGAAATTTTGGAAAAAATTATATCAAATATACCAAGTAATTTTGATTTAAAATGAATCAAAAAAATATATAGTTTCAGGGTTCTCGATCATCAGCACAGATTGAGTGGTTTTTTAATGGAAAACGTATTGCTGATCGTACGTTTAATATGCTTAGTTTTTTGAATTAGTTTGCTTATAAAAAATCATAGCGAAATGATAAAGGTGCGATGGGGATGAGAAATACATTCATATAATAAGATTACATCATTATAGTAACAAAAGAATAAGACATGACAGTAAAATATTCAGCTAGTCACTTGTTAGCACTTAATTTTTAAGTGTTTCCCGGTGATTGTTTTTTTTAAAAACATTTTTGGAAAATGCAGATGTTTGTGATATAATTTTTTTCTTAAACAACCAGGTATCTAGGAATATGATTTTCAAGATAGTACTTAAGGAAATGATACTTCTATAACGGTACATCCTATTACTTTCACACTCGAAATCAGTGACGTTTTACCTGATCATGAAGGTTCTTACTATTGCGTCGCTACAAATGAAGAAAAAACTCGTACCAGTCGCTATGCTCAACTAATTGTTAAAAATGAAAATAATGGTAATGTTGAATCATTATATTTTGTGATTAAACAAGTTTCTTCAGTAATACATCAGTTTTGAAGATAGTAAATGTAGCATCCCAGAAGTCTTTACCCAAGGGATGTACTTGTTATTTTTTATTTTTAATCTAGATGTTATTACTGAATTAGATCTTTTAAACAAATATTACAACTGCTTGCAGTTGATAATGAATTTTCCGATCCATATTTTGTTTTGGAACCTCGGAGTGATGTGGTCGTTGAAAATGATTCAGTGATCCTGGAATGCTTAGTCAATGGCTCGCCAAAACCAGTCGTGCGATGGTTAAAAGGTGCTGAAGCTATAACAGTCACAGGTGACAGAGTAAGTATTTCGTTTGCTTGTTATTCGAAAATGAGCTTTTGTGTATTAATTTTCTTTTACATCGACATATATGGTAATAATGTATGCATATTGCAGGTACGTCAAATAGGTTCATCTTCATTAATGATTCTAAATGTAAAAGCACAGGATTCAGGTGTTTACACATGTCGCGCAAGCAATAATAGGGAGTCTTTAGATGCGTCGGCAACATTAAAAGTGAAAGGTCGGACTGTCTCCAAATACATATAGAATCAAAATTTGTGTTTTTTATTTCTTTTGTTGATAACTAATATTTATATGTAGCAGAAAATTTTTGTTGAACAATGCTTTTTAAATCCAGTCTTCTAATTTTTTTTCTTTCTGGAGAGCAGGTATAATTTGATGAGTTATTATCATAAATTTTAAATTTTAAGCTTCCAGTTAGTCAAAGAATTATATGTAGACTAAAGCTTCTTGTAGTATCGAGATCTTTCGATTTTCAGTAGCACCAAAAATCACTTCTCAACCGACCAATATTTTGGCCCAAGAAACCACTGATGTCGAGGTTTTCTTTGTTTGCAAAATTGTTCTGGATATAAAAACAGAGAAGTTAGTAATTAATTATAATGTAGAACTGCATAATTTTCAGTTTGATTGTGAGGCAACAGGGGAACCCAGTCCAGCTATCAGTTGGTATAAAAATGGCGAGATAATCATTGCTAGTGAATATTTTGTCGTAAGTGCGATGTTTTTTTTTCTTTTTTTTGTACAATCAAAACTTTTTCTGTCCGTCATAAACACGTTCCTTTTTTATCTGTCCATCAAACTACAGATAAAAGAAGATATTGTTCGGCCGAGTTGCCGGCTGGTCGAACTGCGTCACAGAGAGAAAATGGATGATAAACGGAAAAAAACGAGCTTGCTGTCGCATATAAAAATAGATGGAAAATAGATGAGGCTGTGGAAGGAAAGATCCGTGAAAGATATGAGAAAGCACTCGTCGCATGCAATATGGAAGTTTATTCAGAAACGCGTTCCCAGCCATTTGATAACTTATCTCATTCTCTGATTGATTGCTGGAATGTTCTCTCGAATCACCATTTCCACCGTTCTGGGGTGTTTGACTGTAAATTTCATTACGTTTGTTGTTGCAACTGATCTACTGGTATTTCCGCCATTTACTCTATAGTAGCATCATGACATTCTCATAATAAATAAAGGTAAAACAAAGAAAGGAATATACCGACTCTGCTGAGCGGTTGAGCTGCCAGTTAATCGATCGCGTCATAGAGTAAGAAAGCAACAAATGGAAAAGAATAAAGAATAAAGTCCGCATCTGGAATCATAAATGAAAACAATGGAAAAACAGATGCGGTTGGAAAAAGCTATGTGAAGGGTGTGAGGGAGCTGCCACTGTACCGAGACCCAGTGCCAGCACAATGATCAAGCTCAAAGTATTCGTCCGTAAAATGGAAATTTCATATAGCACGTGGCCAGGAAAGGTTTTAGAAGCGTTCTTCCACATCTATATATATAGAATGATCGCGCTTGAACACTTCGTCGAATCGAAAGAAATCTGGTATTTTGGGAGGGCGCTGTTAAGCTCAGGATGGGAAAGGATCACGATACATAACGAGTATCTGAAGAAATTGCTCCTGATCATGAAGTGCATGGTACTTTCCCCTCTGAAGCGAATTTAGGAAGATAGTTTCCTATTTGCTCAATTTGAAGGCGGCAGGCACTGATGGAGTCTATAATTTCTTTATTAAAAAGTACACTTCCTTGCATCCAAACCTCTACAAAATAGCACGAAGGATTTGTCTGGATGGGAGGAACCGTGGTTTTATAAAGATACTACCTACCTGACTCCAAAAATTGTCCCAAGTAAAGGCAGCGACTTCAGGCCAATAACTTGTATGTCGAACC